GAGAGAGAGAGAGAGAGAGAGAGAGAGAGAGAGAGAGAGAGAGAGAGAGAGAGAGAGAGAGAGAGAGAGAGAACGCAGACCCGCTTCAAATATAAAAAAGGGAAGTGGTCTATCCACTTCTTCGGATCCGTTGCAAAATCAAACATGACGAAATTGTCCGTCCCGGCGCAGGACAGCAGCCCGCGGCAAATCCGAAAATGAGTTTGGATACACATGTCGCAACACACAAGCTCTATGAAAAGTTATTGGAGCCTAATAAAAAAAAAAAAAAAAAATTCACCAAAATAAGCGAAGGACACACGTCGACAGACGTGAATTGAAACGGGGGACTCAAATACCCATCCGGACGACCAGACACTACCAATGCCGTCATAACGATGGACTCGACCAAGCAGATAGGAGCAGACACGGCGGCTAACGCTCGCGGATGGCCTTCGCTATCTCAAGCAGAGCGTGGCACATCAGTTTGCTAACTTTGTCGGACGCAGCGTAGTGTTTCTTCTGCACCTCAACCTCCGCTTCCAATGCCTCGCACTGCCGGATTTGGATTGAACACTTCCGTTTGCTGTTGCTTTCCATCGTCGACACCACCAAAGCCCCGTGCTTCTCCATGCATTCCGACAGAGCGTCGAAAGTTTGTTGCCTCGTGCTCTTCCTCTTGCCGAAGCCAGTAGGGCCTCCCGTTGTCTGAGAAGAACCTCTCGTCGACCCGTCGCCGTCGTCGTCCAGCCCTACAGCAGCGCCCCGATCCCCGACAGACTCCGGATCACCAGAATTCGCCGACGGCAGGCGCACACCCCCCGGAGCACCAGTGTCTGCGACGTTCTTGGGGTTAATGGTGTGGCTATTGGCAGTCGACCCCAGGATCTCATCGTAAAATCGCACGATCCATGTTGAAACTGAAGCCCTTCGACAACCGCTCCTTCCCTGTGAACTGGAAGAAGTCCTGTTTCCCGGACAAGCCTTGGAAGCGGTGAACCTTCTTGAACTGCTGCATCAAATTGTCCCACTTCTTCCCGCACCGTTCTGCCTCCCTCTCCACGCCCACCTTCTTCAGCCTTTGCTCCACATCCAACCACTTCAATTCTCGCGGCTTCATACGAGCGTACGCGGTGCCCATTCCCTGCAGATGCGCGCCCTGGTCACGTTTAGCCCGTATGAGGGCCACCATGTCGTCGATGGACCAAAAATGACGATCGCCTTCTGCATCGCCATCAGCTTCGACGACGCTCCCCTTCCCCATCGCCTTCTTCCCCCGCCGACCGTTGCGAACAGACACCTTCACCCTCCCGCCCTTCCCCCCCATGCTGCTTTGCTTGGATGGCGACACTTGACCTGCGTCGTCCTCCCCACCCCCGCAGTCGTCGTCGTTCAAGTCCTGGTCGTTGCCACCGACATCAGGTGTGTCGCCGTCGTTTTCGTCGTCCACCACTCGCAGTCGCTGCACGCCCCGTGTTATGGATTCTTGTCGTCGCGGATGGAGCATCCGTCGCTGTTCTTCCCACACCTCCCTCCCGTCGCGTCTGTCACCTCTTTCCTCGATCCCACAATCATGCTCCCCGCATTCCCCCCGATTGCGAGCCGCACTCGAATTGCCGGACAGGGGAGACGGGGACAACATCCACGACGGGCGAGCCGAGGCACCCCTTGAAGCAGACGACGCCCTGTATTGCTGCGTACGAGGATCCCTGTTGTTCCCCGACGCCACGCGGACCGACGACGCTGGAGACTTCGACGATCGTGCAACAGCCGTCACCTGGGCGCCATCGTCATCGGGACGATTGTCGACTAGCACTGTCCGCGTCGAAGACGACAACCTCCCACTGCATAGACCGAACGTCAGATTCACACCTCCATCTCCTTCGTCGCCGCTCAGGCCCTGTTGGAGGAGCTAGGTGTACGACTGCCCGTAACTGGGCTCGCGGCTTCCACAAAGCTCTGTGGACGTCCACTCCTGCGTAGACCCGCTTCCTAGCGGCACGGCACGTGAACGTCTGTTGTCCTCCTCCTCGTTCGATGTGTCCGGCAAAGGCTGCAAGTGCGGTGGCAGGTGTGGGTACTCCGACCGCTCCACCGCCCTTGAACCTCTAGACGGGCTCTGCCCGGCCCGTTGGCCACCACCCTCACCCCCTGCAGACCTGCAAACCGCCTGCCGCCCATCCATACTGACGTCCTTCTTTGCACACCGTCGCCTGCGCCGACGTTGCGGAACGATGCCGACGACACAGACGTGGAAGAGCACTACGAGGACAAGCAGGAGGACGACCAGCACCAGCAGTGGCAGCCTCCGAAAGACGTCGGCCATGAAACGCACGTGGACGACGCGAGCACCTGCAAGACGACCGTGGACGTACAGGAAACGGTGACGGACACTCTGCCGAAAACGGCCGAACGCAGCTAACGACAAACGGTGGGTAACGTGCTCCGTCGCGGAAGACACAACGCGATCGGGAAAGCGGGGGCGGCCTGAAGTATTCGAATCTGCCGACCGTTGGCCGCTTTCCCACCACGGTCGAAGGGCGACAATGCAAGGAAGCCCGTTTTCGACGTCGCGAAGGACGGCAGGCCGCCGAAGGGACCGTTGGCGGAGTATTCCTTGACGCCGACCGTTGCCAACCGACGATGTCCGTCCACGGGCCGCCAGGAACAGCAATGGACCAGCCGCGTCGAAAATTGTCGTCGAGAGAGCTGTCGTCGACGCTCTGATTCTTCTGGATGCTTGACCTCCAAGGGACCTCGGGAGGTCCCTTGGGGAAAGCGTCGAAATGGCTGTAGCCCGAGGAATCCCGGAGGAAACCCCGAGGAAATGTTTTCACATTTTTTTTTTGTTTCGTTCCCTGAGGATAGGTGGAACGATGATTTCCTCAGGGATTTTACGCGCCCGAGGAATGTCGAACGAGCCCCTCAATCCTATTACAGACAACGAAAGCCCTTGAGTTTTTTTTTTTTTTTTTGGTATTGCACAGCATTCGTCGGCTGTGTCCGGCTCTCGGCTAAATTGTTTTTTTTTAAGGGCCCGAATCAGCCTCAGAATGCCCTACACGGCCGACGAATGCTACGCATAAACGATTTTTTTATTTTTTTTTCAAAAATAAAAAATATATTCTGATCGAAAAAAGAACAAAAAAATATGGGCAGGTGCCCGTTTACATTACCCACACGTGTGTGCAAAAAACAAGTACCACCACCAGCCAAAAAAAAAACAAAAACGGAGTTCCCGCTTTGCGTGAACTCCGTCAACTCTGACCGTTCACGTTTTTCGTGAACAGTGGCTGGCCCGCGTTCACCAAGGCCGTGAACGGTGAACGGGGGTACGGCACCGGTACAACAACAAAACCGATTGGATATGGGTCAGTGAACGATGAAGCTAGGGTGAAGGCCAATGGGACGCTGGACCCAGTTTCCAGCACGACCATTTGTTCTGAAGGATTCATACCAAAGGTTTCAAAAGATGTCATTATGGGACGCTCGACCCGGTTTCCGGCAGGTGACGCTCCCCACCAATAGATGGAGCAGCGGTTAAAAAAAAAAAAAAAGGAGGAGGAGGCGGATGGTGGCCCTACACTTCGATCGCGCACGGCGTTCAGCCCTTTCCTTCTCTCTCTCTCTCTCTCTCTCTCTCTTTCTTTCTGTGTGTGTGTGTGTGTTTCTCTCTCTCTCTCTCTCTAACTCTCTCACACTCACACACACACACACACACACACACACACACACACACACACACACATACACACACACACACACACACACACAACTAGCCAACTCAGGCTGAGTAACTGATGGTTTTGGTGGATGGGGGGTCGAATAAGCTTGGCTTGCTGATCCCAATCAGGTGAAGTCACTACTTCACTGGTACAGATTGCAATGCACATACGAACTTGCACGACAATCGGATCGGCGGAGTAACGATTGTCAAGGTTCAACAGGTGTGTGACGACGAGTGTCAGTAGGCAGGTTATTTATGGCTAATTCAGTGGGTTTCTGACAGTGTGCCACATGCACAAGAGCGGGGGACATACGTCTCCCTTCTTGATGTTTTTGCTGATGGAAGTTGGTGGAATACTTCTTGGCGCAATGATTCTATACCAATCTTGGCCTCTCGATGTGATTAATTGATTCTAATGAGGGGAGTGTGTATGGATTACACTACTGTCTATCCTTGTGATTATGGAAGTTGTCTCAGAGATTGATGCATGTGTGATGAGCATATCATTTCGTTCCATTGTTCGAATAATCGTGTAATCAAAGTTCATGGTCACATGTATGGATCTTTCCTCTTCATAGAATGGCTAGAAATGCGGCTGCTAGTTAACTTTCTCCTGTATGATTGAGGTTTTGAGCGTAATTTTTTTTTTTGTTTCCTGATCGATAGGAAATTATAATAGACTTGAATAGGAAGTGATTGTTTGCTTTCAACAATTTCGTGCGGATGAATCCGTTTGATCCTTACCCCTTACCGTGCGTGCAAGCATCCGACGATTGTGCGCCCGCTTCTTATGATAACGGACAACAAACGTGCATTTGGGAGTAGGACGTGTGGGAATCCACGGTGCAGACCTATCACCTATATCTTCTTCAAAGAGAATATAAATGTTTGGGTTTTGTGGGATTGGATTTTGTGATTCTTTTTGCCATATCACGAGCTCACAGTTATCCAGTGGCTAGCTATCGTCCCTTATTGACCTACACACCCCGCACAAAGGGGTTAGGTTCGCGCTAGGTTCGTTATTGACCAATGACACTATGTTCGGGGTGCAGATACTACGATCGCTTCCGATAGCGTCGCTTTACTTACACACCCCGCACAAAGGAAGATGTCGCTGAACGGGCTCACATTTGTGATCATCCAATTTCGATTCCGAACTTTACGTGACGCGTAAGCATACAATAACTCATGAAGGAGATGACTGGCAGATAACCATTCTATTATTGAGTGATTGGATGTTTTTCTTTTCATTCAAATATTTTTCTTTGCGCCCATAATTTAGCTGAGTGAGTTTTTCTTCTACACCATCTGAATTTTGCGGGGTCAACCATGTCCTTGTCGGCCACAACCCGCTTTAGAACTGAAACTGATCTATGGAGATGCCAAGTCCGACCTGGAATTCAAACCGCACCTTTCCTAAAACCCTTGGCACACCCCCTTTTGTCACGCTTTCGTAGGTCTTTTTTTTTTTGTAGGGAAAAAAAAAATCATGCACCTGGACTCCCTGGAGTCCTGTAGAACAGGGTGATAAGACCCCTTAAGCAGGTCCCGACAATGAAGGCTCCATCTATTGGTGGGGAGCAACACCTGTTATGTCTGAGGACTCTCGGTTGTCTCTCCCTGCTCTCCTTGTTATCTGTTGCTAACCCCCTAGATCTGGCAAGGGAGCAACATCTACAGGGTTGGCTTTGAAGGTTCACCCCGCATCTAGGATTATCCCCCAGCATGTTGAGTGGGATACAAAGGAAGGCAGATTGGGGTGGCTCAAAGCCACGTTGGGAACTGAAATACTATATGTGGCTTGTATATATGCACTCAAGGACCCTGGGAGCAGGGTCGCATTTTTCACGACGCTTCAACATCTACTACCCCGAGATGGCCCCATTATCATAGTAGGGGACTTCAGCACAACACCGAATCCCATGATAGACAGGCGGTCCCCTCTCAAAATCCCCGGATTGCCCTGGTCCAAGGGGGCCCTGTTGTCACAGCCTTGGTACATATGATGGCGGACCTAGGACTCATAGACACTTATGGACATCTCCGTCCCTCCAAAAGGGCCTCTACGTGTGCGAGCTCGAGGGGTGACAGAGGCATTGCGAATTCTAGGATCGACCTGACCCTAATCTCAGAAGAAATCTCGGGACTACTCATAGTTGCAGACGTTTGTCCTATCTCGCCGTGTAAGTCCTTTGATCACATAATGATAGTGACGGGCCTATCCTTTCACTCACATATAACCAAAGGACCAGGTTTCTTCAAATTTATCAACATGCTCCTTAAACTCCCTTCTTTTGACACCATGGCTAAGGAGTTCTGAGTGTGTTGGACTACACATAAACCCTGGGATGTCAGGCTAGTCCATTGGTTCAATGACAACATCGCACAACTCCGGGAAAGAGTAAAGGAGTACTCAATCAAAAATGCAAGGGAGCGTAAGGAGAAACAAGAGAGACTTATGGTCCGCGTGGAGGAGTGCGATGCCCAGCTCACGGACCACCCCCCGGACATGGACACCTACGATGCACTCCAAAGGGCTACGGCCCAATCACAAGAATATCTGGATAACCAGTCCCACAAATGGAGAATCCAGGCCTGAATCACGAAGGATGCAGCGGAAGGAATGATGACGTAAAGCTAAGGCTAGGAAGAGACAAAGCACGGTTTCCTCCTTCAAACACCCATTCGACAACAACCAACCGCTGACATCCAACGCCTATAAGATAGTTGAGTATGCCTCGGAGTACTACAAAATACTTTTCACATCAGAAACCAATCAATATTCGAAACACAGTATCAGGAGGGTGGCATGGGATGTCATCATACAACCACGTGCCAAAGGGGGGTTAGGACTAATTGACCCGGAGAATGAGACAAAAACGCGGATATTTAAGTTTATTATAAGATGGTTGCTAGGCAATGATATCCCCTAGGCACCATATGCAACCATCCAAATCTCCGCCCTGGCACCACAATGCACAAATATCAATTGGATTCATCCGCTGCGATGGTTGACCAACAGACATTGATCAATCCCCCCCCCCCCCCCCCCGCCAATAGAAGAGACGACACACCTGTTGCCACAACCAAAGGAGACCTCAGGGCCGATCCTCTTTGGACCTGCTGCCACAGCCAAAGGAGACCTCAGGGCCGATCCCCTCTGGACCAACATGCTACGTCTATGGAGAGAACGAGGTCCGACCCAAAAACCTGTGCTGCTTAGATGGGACGAAACATGGAGACAACCTCTGTTTGGGAACTCATGTATATTAGATCACATGGGCAACCCATTCTCGCTCCAAACGGGTTCCAAATGGCTCCCCTGGGTGAGGAAAGGGATTTACACAGTTGGTGATTTGTGGAATATTCAAGCAAGCACGTGGTTGTCGGTCCAGGATCTTCGAAAAAAGCTTGACCATGTTAGAAAGCCGGAGGAGGCACTGCAAGACGCTGTCCCCCTCGCATGGGTCCTGAAACTCAAGAGAGGCCTGACATTAAGGCAGGGGGATTGGGTGGTACGATCAGAGGACTGGCCGATCCCCATGGCAGTTTACAAGGTGGAGGAAGTTAACTCACACGAGGAGAGGCTTATCGCGTATACACCACACCTCCTAGGAGATAGATGGTCCAAATTGAACTGTC